ACACACTGCCTAATACCTGCATCCTTACACACATACTGCCTAATACAGGCCTGCCCAACCTGCGGAGTCTTTCAATTAAACAGATCGCCAGGGAATCATGGGAGTTGTAGTTCAGCAACATCTGGGGGGGCCACATGTTGGACAGCTCTGGCCTAATACATGCATCCATACACACATACTGCCTAATACATGCATCCATACACACATACTGCCTAATACATGCAGCCATAGACTCATACTGCCTAATACATGCAGCCATAGACTCATACTGCCTAATACATGCAGCCATAGACTCATACTGCCTAATACATGCAGCCATAGACTCATACTGCGTAATACATGCAGCCATAGACTCATACTGCCTAATACATGCAGCCATAGACTCATACTGCTTAATACATGCAGCCATAGACTCATACTGCTTAATACATGCAGCCATAGACTCATACTGCTTAATACATGCAGCCATAGACTCATACTGCTTAATACATGCAGCCATAGACTCATACTGCCTAATACATGCAGCCATAGACTCATACTGCCTAATACATGCAGCCATAGACTCATACTGCCTAATACATGCAGCCATAGACTCATACTGCCTAATACATGCAGCCATAGACTCATACTGCCTAATACATGCAGCCATAGACTCATACTGCCTAATACATGCAGCCATAGACTCATACTGCCTAATACATGCAGCCATAGACTCATACTGCCTAATACATGCAGCCATAGACTCATACTGCCTAATACATGCAGCCATAGACTCATACTGCCTAATACATGCAGCCATAGACTCATACTGCCTAATACATGCAGCCATAGACTCATACTGCCTATACATGCAGCCATAGACACATACTGCCTAATACATGCAGCCATAGACACATACTGCCTAATACATGCAGCCATAGACTCATACTGCCTAATACATGCAGCCATAGACTCATACTGCCTAATACATGCAGCCATAGACTCATACTGCCTAATACATGCAGCCATAGACTCATACTGCCTAATACATGCAGCCATAGACTCATACTGCCTAATACATGCAGCCATAGACTCATACTGCCTAATACATGCAGCCATAGACTCATACTGCCTAATACATGCAGCCATAGACTCATACTGCCTAATACATGCAGCCATAGACTCATACTGCCTAATACATGCAGCCATAGACTCATACTGCCTAATACATGCAGCCATAGACTCATACTGCCTAATACATGCAGCCATAGACATATACTGCCTAATACATGCAGCCATAGACATATACTGCCTAATACATGCAGCCATAGACATATACTGCCTAATACCTACATTTATACCAGAGGCGGGTCCAGCACCTAATCTCGGTAGGTGCACTGGTAGATTATTTAAAAGAAACAATCTAGGCACAATAACCACTACAGCTCTATGTAGTCGTTATGGTGCCAGGAGTGCCGTTGTGACCTCCCAGAATAAGTAGTCAAACCGTTTTAGAACAGTTTGACAAATTATCTGGAATCTGCCGGGATAGGGGCTCTAGTAAGATATAGGGCAGTAGTGTGTGTGTGGAGGGGTACAGTGTGTGTGTGTGTGTGTGGCGTAGTTTGTATATGTGTGGGGTACAGTGTTTCTGTGTGAGGGGTGCTTTGTGTGTGTGATAGGGTTACAGTGTGTGGGGGGTGTTACTGTGTGTGATAGGGGTACAGTGTGTGGGGTGGGAAATATGTGGTGGGGCAGTATGTAAATGTGAAAGTTATTGTGTGTAGGGCAGGGGGGCAGATTAAAAACTGTGTTTTTTTTGTTGTTTTTTTTAAATAACTTAAAATAAAGAATCTTTAAATCCCCTCTCCTTTCTTACATTTGCCTGGGCAGGGGATCTCTCTAAATCCCTGGCGGTCATGTGGAGAATCCCTGGCAGTCCTAGGGGTAAGTGTGAACTCTAGCCTTCTGGGAGATCCGGAGCGTTGCCACGGTAACACAGGCAACGCTCCGTGCTCGCAAGAGGAGGACCCGGAGTAGCTGCAGGCTAAGCTCCTGGGTCCTCTCTCCCTCCTCGTCGGCAAAGTGCATGTGGACTGGTAAGGGAGATCTCTGATCTCTCCTCCGGCCCGTGAAAGCACATAACAGGGCCAGCGCTTGGATAGCTCCGGTCCTACAGGGGAGAGCATCGGCTCTCGGGGTGAGGGGGCAGTTGCCCCCCCTCCGAATCCGCCACTGATGCATGCATACATACATTGTATACATAATTTAGCGCTGTGATAAATTATGTATTCAATGCATTTGGTGAATTTAATTTATAATAAGACTAGCATAGGCGAGCACTCACTCACTGGCAGACATTCATTCACTCACTCACTGGCAGACATTCACTCACTCACTCACTCACTGGCAGACATTCACTCACTCACTCACTCACTGGCAGACATTCACTCACTCACTCACTCACTGGCAGACATTAACTCACTCACTCACTCACTGGCAGACATTCACTCACTCACTCACTCACTCACTGGCAGACATTCACTCACTCACTCACTCACTGGCAGACATTCACTCACTCACTCACTCACTGGCAGACATTCACTCACTCACTCTCTCTCACTGGCAGACATTCACTCACTCACTGGCACACACACTCAAAAATGTTTTTTTAGTCCCATCCAGCCTCCCTAGCTCCCTGGGGTCCATTGTGGGGAAGCTCCTCCCTCCTCCCACCCATTGTTTAGTATGCCGGGGCCGGAATTATGTCATATTCCCGGCTTCTGGCATCACAGAGGGTGGCGAGTGAGGAGTGGGAAGCTGCAAGAACAGTCTCCCTCTCCTCCCACACTGCCCCACCCGCTTCCTCTCCTCTGACATTTATCGGCAGAGCAGGCACCTGCAATCAAGGTAAGCAGGTGCCTGCTTTGCACTGAGGTGGAAGGTGGCTGTGACAGGGCTCCTCTGGGCGCCCCACCTTCATGAGCCTGCAGGTTCGGCCCGGCGTGGGGGGCAACCCGCTGCAGCCCAAAACACGGGTTGTCCGGTAGGCGCACCCTACAGGCCGGCGCCCAAGACGAATGCCTATTTTGCCTAACTTTTTTTATGAAATGTAGTTAAACTATGATAAAAGCTGAAGTGCTTTTGCAGTGTGGAGTGGTCCTTTAATGTTGCCTTGTACATGAGGTGCATAACAAAGTGGGTGCGGATATAAAAAAGTAAGAAGACTGGGCTTGCTGGCATGACAATAGGGGTTAGCAGTTTTAGATTATTTCCAGTAAAAAATTATAAATATATGGATGTCCTAAACAAATAAAAATATATATTTTATTTTTTATATGTTTTACTCTTTCTGCTTAAAGCTGCAAAGGAGCCTGTGGACTCTACTTTGTGTTTCCCATCAGCATTAAAGAATTATTGTGCTTTTATAATCTTATCAAACATAATTCTATTATCATAAGTGGATATGTCTGCTAGCACAAGACAATTTATGCAAGAAACCAACACAGACTGCATTCAATCTATCCTTCACATTCATCCCAAGGACATATGAGGGTAAGCAATGTATTCTCTATGAATATAAAAAGTAGGACAAAAATGTTACATTAAAACATATCTGCAACAACTTGTTCTATGATGATCAGGTGCAAGGTTTCTCATCAAGCCTTGTTTAACGTAAAATATAGCTTGCTATTATAAAGTAAATCTATTATGACTTCAAAATATTTATTAATGTTACGTTTTTTTAGAAGGAGTGTGTTCCATAGTTCTAAACAATCCTGGATCTGGCGCACCAGTTTAAAAAATGAACTTCACTCCAAGTTTTTGGAGATGCTAGAGATTGTTCCCCCCCAAAAATAAAAGCAAGGGCATCATTATTTGCACTTGTGTCAACAGAAGAGCATTTCTGCGCATATACATGCTTCCCTGGGTAACTATGGTTGACTGCCTTGCAAATCTGCATGGTGGCTTGGCACATAGTCGTTTCAGGGTGACATGCATCTTCTTTAGGGTATTTCCCAGTGAGTGGCACTAACAATGCAGTACATGCCACAGGTCTACCCTTTTGCAATTACAAACTTGAGCCTGTTTCATAGCTCATAGAGATGCATGTATGCTATGCAGTAAACTGTGGCATAATCCAGCTTGTCAGGTCAAGGCTTCAGTAGTTGGTAACAAATCTACAATTTGGCTGAGTATGGAGATTATTTTCTTACTTTATTATTGGAGTAAATGTAATTAATATGTTCTCATCATAATTCAAAGTTTGATAAACCCTTACCTTTAGAATACATCTAAATGCACGCCTCATAGCAACAAAACATGTTGCTTGGCGTGTGGATGTTGATGTAGGTATGTGAATATATAGTTAAGAAATTGGGGTGGATCACTCTTATGATGTGGTCATTTGTTGTCAAATAATAAGCTGGTTTAAGAGATTAGAAACTGTTGGATGTTTTAAATCCTATGGATATTGCCACACCCTACAACTGCCTGCTCACACATTATCTGACTACCGGAGAGTATTAATATTACCACCCCCTGTCAGGAAAACTGCAAGACCCTACTATTAACCTAAACCTGGAATGTGGCAGGACCTAGTTATCATGTATCCTGCCTCTTTTTCTGTTTCCATGCCTGCTGGAAAATCTTTGAGTATTCAACACTCAAAAGGTTATTCACAAAACTAAATTCTTTTTTTCAATGTGTTTTATTTAAGTACATTTTGCATCATTCGTATAACACAGAATACAAAGCAAAATAAGGGGTACAGAAGGGAAAAGGGGAAGAGGCAGCTTGCATAGGTCACCTCATACATTACAATGCCGTAGAACAAACCGTGGTACTAGGTCATATAGGAAAGACAGTTGACAGTTTGAGCAATATGTTGCATAACGGTGATGGTTATACATGTAGACAACCTGGTATCAGATATATTGCATTAGAACGCTTAACACAGAGTAAGGTTGGGAAAGCCCAGGGGGGATTGATGACCATCTATGGGCCCTGAGGAGGCTCACCCTTCCTATAGTCCACCCAACTCTGCCACCGTGTTTTGTACTTATTTTGACTGCTGGTCAGCCGGCTAGCCATGCGTTCGTATGCGTGAGTTGAGTCTAGCCTGCCTAAGATTTCTGGCAGCGTTGGTGTCAGAGGGGACTTCCATCTATGCGCAATGGCAGTTTTGGTGGCCATTAAGCAGTGAATCATGAAAAAGATTGTTTCTTCAGGGAGGGTATCTGGGAAGATATGTAATAGGAAGCATTCTGGTGTCTGAGGTACTTTTACAACCAGAATTTTATGAAGAAGTGCATGTATATCCCGCCATAGCGTGGTGATGTGTGTGCATGACCAAAATATATGGAAGAGGGACCCCTCGCAGTTGTGGCATCTCCAGCATCGATCGTCAGATCCCGGATAGATATGGGCCAGTTTAGTGGGGACTAGATACCAGCACATCGTTAATTTGCAGTATGTTTCCCATTGGTTAAGGCATAGGGACAGTGCTTTGGTTTTTGGTAGTTTGCCCATGCATTTACGGATAAATGGCGGCAAGTGATCGGGTTCCCCCAAGCTAATCCTGCATTCCTGGATAATATTTTTTATTCTGAGGTAAGAGAATAGTTCTCGTGGAGAGATATGGAATTCCCGGATTAAGTCTGGGAAGGGCTTGATGCCATCTGGGGTCAGTAAAGAGCGGACTTGGGAGATCCCCTGTTTAAGCCAATTATCTAAATGAATGTCTGACGTTCGAGCAGCCAGGGCCTGAAGTGGGGCTGCAAGGAGCAGGTCGTTGTTTTGAAGGAATAGCGATGTAGTTCGCTTCCAGTTTTGGAGGAGCGAGACCGTAGTGGGTAGCAAGGATTTGGTTTTGGGGAATTTTGACCCTGCCCAAAGGGACAAAGGAATTGAGCCATTGGGTGTGCAAGCGTTCTCCAACGCCAGCCACACCGGGGGAGAAGGGCGTTCAAGGATCGTGAGGCCTTGGGCCAGCAATGACGCCTTGTAATAAAGGTTTATATTGGGAACACCTAGTCCCCCTTTTGTAAACGGGCGCCAAAGTGATTTTTGCGCTATTCTGGGGGGTTTCCGTTTCCAGATATGAGCATTTATCATGGCCTGAAAGTTCTTTAAAATTGGATTTGGGATTGTAATGGGGAGGGTGCGGAATAGGTATAGGATATGTGGAAGAATCATCATTTTTACAGTATGGATTCGTCCCAACCAGGAGATCTCTTTCTCCTCCCATGTCTTAAGTTATTGTTCTAGTCTGTGGATGAGTGGTAAGTGGTTTTCCTGCATTATTGCTGAGTGTCTTGATGGCAACTTTATACCCAAATAGGAGATGGAGGAGTTCCGCCAGTCGAAAGGGTACAATATTTTTAGGGGAGATAGGGATGTATGTGACAGCCCAATCGCCATCGCTTGTGTCTTTTTGGCATTGTTTTTATAGAACGATACCTTTCCGTAATTCCCCAAAAGGGTTAACAAGTTTGGTAGCGATTTTCTCCGGGCGTGTTAAGAATAGAAGGACATCATCTGCGAATAAGGCTATTTTTGGGGTCCCTACGGGGGTAGCTAGGCCTTCAATTGTTTCGTCGTTTTTTATGTGCCTAACCAGGGGTTCCATACATATTATAAAGATTAATGGGGAGAGGGGGCAACCCTGTCTGGATCCGTTTGTTATTTGAAAGGGTTGAGATAGAAACCCGGAGTTAAATATTCTGGCTGCTGGATTAGAGTATAGGGCCATGATCCCTTTCAAGAAGTCTGATGGGATGCCTACTGAGGTTAGGACAGCCCTCATATAAGTCCAATTTAGGCGATCGAACGCTTTTTCCGCGTCTAGGGCTAACAATATGCCACTTTGGTTAGTTTTTTGGGCCCATGAGATTAGGTTCAGAAAGTGTCGTGTATTGTGCCCCCGTTGTCTATTCGGGACAAACCCTGCCTGCTCTGGAGAGACCAGATCTTGCAGGAAGGGTTGGAGGCGATTGGCTAGCAATTTGGCAAAGAGTTTTGTGTCTGCGTTCAGCAGAGAGATGGGCCTCAAATTGGCGCATTCAGTGGGAGGTTTGCCAGGTTTGGGGAGTGTAACGATATGGGCTAGCAACATCTCCTCTGGCATAGTTCCTGAGTCCTTAAAGAAGTTAAAGAGGTCTGTAAGGTGTGGTGTGAGCTGTGTCTCGAATGTGGAGTAAAAGTGATTAGAGAACCCGTCCGGGCCAGGAGCTTTATGTTTGGGTAATTTATGTATTGCATTTCGTACTTCTTCCGTGAATTTGGCCGACAGGATTGCACTTTGTTGTGCAGTCAAGCGAGGTAGTGTTGCCTCTGTCAGAAAAGTGACTATTTCCGACTCTATTGGCTGATGTAGTGTCTTGTCCTGTGTAAGGTTATAGAGACCCTTATAAAAATTCGCCAATTAATTCACTATATCTTGTGGGTTGAATAGTTTTGACCCAGTGGCTGATGTCATGTATGGGAGTTTGGATTGTATGTATCAGGATTTTAGCCGTTTTGCAAGCAATTTGCCTGCCTTGTTTCCTTGCATATAGTAGGCAAGCTTCAGCTTGCGGAGCTGCCGTTCCATGCCCATCAGGGACAGTTCAAGTAGTCTTTCCCTTACCTTTTCAATTTTGTGGGATAGTTTTAGTTGGTTTAAGTTTGTTGGCTTGGTCTAGTGTTTTAAGTTGAGAGAGTAGACTATCTGATTCAGTAAAGGTTTTCCTTTTGTTTATTGCGCCCGCCTGGATTAAAAGGCCTCGTAATACGGCTTTGAGGGCCAACCATTTAGTGTCTATGCGGGTAAGGTCAGATTGGTGGGTTTCGAAGAACGATATTATGCTGGCCCGTATTTTTATGGCAGTGTTCTCATTATGTATGAGGGATTCATTCAGGCGCCAGGCGCTACGCCCTCGTGAGGGGAACAAAGCCCTGAACGTAGTGATTACCGGCGCGTGATCAGACCATGTCCGGTCACCTATTTGCACCTCTATTAGATTGGATACCGTAGTCTTATCTACCCAGCACATATCTATACGGGAGTATGTGTGGTGTACTCTTGAGAAATAGGTGTAGTTTTTCTCTGTCGGATAGAGGGTCCGCCAAGAATCGTATAGATCGTGTGTATGAAGCAATGTACTGAGGGTAGCGCTCATAGTACTAGCGTGTTGGAGAGGGTGCTTACCTTCGATGCGCTTAATGTCTAATTCGGGGTCTAACGTGCAGTTTAGGTCACCGCAGATAATAGTGTGTCCCACATGGAGGCTAGAAATTTTGTTGAGCGCTCTTTTAATGAAGGAAGTTTGGGAGTTGTTAGGTGCATATATGGATGCGATCGTGAGTTGCATTCCGTTCAGTGAGCCCACTACTATAAGAAGCCTGCCTAGCTCGTCTGCATAAATGTTATCGAGGTGGAAAACCCAATCAACGTGGAACAATATAGCCACCCCTTTTGTTTTGTTTGGAGCAAGGGCATGGAATACCTGTTGGTATCTAGATGAGTTTAATTTGGGGGGATTTCTTTTACACATATGTGTTTCCTGAAGGCAAACTATAGCAGCCTGAGATTTATGAATGGTTTTAATCACAGAGCTTCTTTTGAATGGGCTATTCAAGCCATTAACGTTCATAGATAAGCATTTAAATTGGTACATCATCTTAAAGGGACATAAAGCAGAGCCTATTAACTAATGCATAGCACCTGTCAGCGTCGGGTATGGGCCTTATGGTAAGCTGAGGAACAGTGCGGAACTGGATAAGCTCTGGTGTCTGGTTATATTTTACACATAAACATGTCATTGCAGCTGCCGGAGAGATGGGAAGGGAAATAACATGGGAACCAAAATCAACAAACATAAGTATATACAATATCTCTCTGAGATGAGAGAAGAACATGGGATTCAGAGGGGAGCCTTGGAGCTCCAAGTTCCTCGAATGCCCTTTGGAGGGTCGTGCGGAGCAGGACCGCACCTGGGCCAGATTCTCAAAGTAGGCAGGTCTGGTAAGGGTAAAAACATGGGGGAGTATGTGCATAGATAGCGATCTCACCTGCGCCCTGTATAGGCCGGTAAGGCGGTATAAGGAGACAGGGGCAGCGGACTTGCGGTGTCGCAACCGGGGATATGATGACAAACTATATATTTTTATTTTTTTTGAAAACTGATCGGTGGGTGCAGTTATTTCTCGGGGCTTCAACCTCGGCCCACGGAAAGCAACCTGTCGTCCTATGAGGAGAGGGGTTAGTGGGGGGCCCTACCCGTGGAGTGCATTGGGGAGTAAATAAGGTGGGGTGGCTCTGGGGGCGCCTACAGCCCGAAGAAAAAATATTTAGCAATTTAGGTAAGCGCAGGGATGTTATCCCATCTTACTAGCTGATTACAGTATATGGCAGTGAGACATACAATAACCCTCCGTATATATATATATATATATATATATATATATATATATATATATATATATATATATATATATATATATATATATATATATATATATATATATATATATATATATAATTTATTTTATTTATTTTTATTTTTTATTTATTTTTTTTACACTTTTTCTTCCCCCCCACCGTACCAACATGGATTCTTTATACAATACCACTCGCGGTGTCTGAAATCAGCGATCACCAGCAATGCAATGTCACATGGGCCTGGCATGAGGCACCGGCCAGCTGGGAACAGTCCATGGGTGAATGGCTAATGTCCAGAGCGAGTGCAGTTACAGTCAGTTGGGATGTCTTCTTGCGTCGTCTTGGGGCTTGCTGGTAAGTAGAGCCAGGGAGATGCTGTCCTCGGCGGAGTAATCATTAGCGCCTCGCGCCAACCATCTGCCAGTCGGGCCGGGTCTTCTTCGGGGTGGGTGTATTATCCGATTGCGCTTGGGTAGCTTCCGATGAGCCCCATAGGCCCCAGTGTTTCAGTGTGGTTAGGCCTCCTATTGGGTCATCAATAATGTGGAGCTTGTTATTCCTCCAAATCAGTAGTTTCGTGGGGAACCCCCAACGGTAAGCCTGCACGTGATTGCGCAAGGTTTTGGTGATGGAGGAGAATTCCTTCCCTCTCGCCATAGTGAGGGCCGAGAGGTCTGCAAAAATAGAGACGGCACTGTAGGGATCGGGCAGCGGAGATTGGGCTCTGGCTTCCTTAAGAAGTGCTTCTTTAGCCTTATAATAATGAAAGCGCACGATGATGTCGCGCGGGACTTCCGCTCCGAACCTAGATGGTTTAGGGACCCGGTGGGCTCTATCCAGTTCCCATGTAATGACGGAGAGGTCAGGGGCCAGAGTGGCACTTAAAGTGGTTATGTAGGCTGGGATCTGGTCTGTCGCAATGGACTCAGCTACCCCCCGGAACCTCACATTGTTCCGACGGGAGCGGTCCTCCATGTCCGCCATCTTGTGCCATAGTTTGGTGTTATCCTCCTCCAATTTCTTCAATTTATCTGCCAGCAGATTATGAGCTGAGCAGAGGTCGTTTGTTTTACGCTCGACCTGATCGGTCCGGTCACCCAGCTCCTCCAATTCTTGGTGAATGCCCGCTATGGCGGTAGTAAAGTCCTCCTTAATGGTGGACCTGAGGTCCATGAGCATTTGCTTAAGGTATTCTTTCGAGAATTGAGTATCATCCGATAGTAGTTGTGAGGGTGTCTCGATGCAGGGATCAGAATCCGGAGACTGAGCTCTTCTGGCGGCGCCATCTTGGGCCTGTTTCAGCCTTTCCCTCTTTGGTGACGGACCGCGTCCGTTAACTTTGTCTGTTTCGAGGGAGACATTAGGGCCCACTTAGCCTTCACCTCCCGCTGGATTAGGGTAGATCTGGTACGATTTTCGTCGTTATTATAGATAATCTGGCCCGGGTGGTGCGGAGCTCCTACTCCATGCGACCGATCTTGCCGGAAGTTGGACACGCCCCCACTAAATTCTAGTGAATTAAATCCAAATGGCATAACTGAGGTTAAAATAGTTGATCTGGAGACATTCTCCAACTAGGCTATAGTCACAACTAAATTTGGCCTTTCGGAATTTAAACTGCTGTAGTACAGTGAATAATAATGTCACAGGTTAAAGGTGATGAGAAGTAATGTTAAGTAACAGGTGGAGGACATTTTGTGCAATATGCACTAGATCACAGGTACCTGTGATCAAGTGCACATTATATAAAATGCATAAGGTAAATTTGTTGCTGTTGTAATACCATCTAGAAATAACTATTTTGAGTGGTACTACCGCTTTAATGTTTTTGAACTAAATAAATGCTTTGATTTTATATATTAAATTGATTCTAAGTTCATTCTACGTTTGTTCCTGTGGAAGCTGGCATCCCCATGTGTATTAACTTCCACCTTAAAACCATTGTTGATTGGCTCCCCATTCCTAAAAATGGCTTGAAACAATATGTAGGTTTCTCGGGTCATATTGTGATGACACTGGTTGGCTGAGAGTGTCGGCTGATGGTGTTGGAGGGGACAGAGCGATCTGGAGCTGGAGATGAGACTTTCGGGTTAAACTTTTCTTGAACTATATAACACTTAGAGGTGAGCTAACTCAAGGTACCCCTTAGCACCATAACAACTTCATTTTAATGAAGTTATGGTGCCATAGTGTTTCTCTAAAAAATATTAAGTTGCAGTTAGTTGATAGCTGAGTTGCAATACGTAGGTCAAATGGTCAAGTTGAAAAAAGTAATCAATCAATAAGTCAGTACTAAATCAAGTTGTAATTTTTTTATTTATTTTTTTAATATCCTGCCTATTTTGGTTTATATTTTCAGTAGGTTACATTGTACAGTTTGATACTTCTCCTGATTTATGACAGCTTTTTGTCTGTGTAATTTAATCTTTGTTGTCATGTTATAAATGAATGAATACCATCACCATCAACAGAGGTACCATGACATTTATTACAATGGCTGTTGTGACTAACAAATGAAGCAAAAACTAATACCTGGTAATATATTTATTTCATTTTATTTAGTCAACTGCATTTCTGTATATTTTCCATTTACATTTCAACAATGTTTTGGGTGTGAAAGACAAAGATTGTTTCCATCGGAAAGAAACTTTACTTTTTCCACTAGTGGCTTTTTTGATGTCATAGAGAGGGAATGATTTTTACAAAGCATTATGTTCATTAGATGAATTATTAATTACTACAAATAGCCAAACAGCTATTCATGAGGATACTATTCTATATATATATAAAGCTGCAGACATGAAGAGTTTTAGTTATTGACTGACCAAATTTAAGAATGGGATAAAGTTAATTGAGTAGAATTTGATGCAATATGTGGTGCTGGTGCAAGATCTGATGTTTTCACTCAATAATTTTTTTTAAAGTTTACATGGTAGAATAAAGAATATATTCTGTAGTCACTATAACTTCTCATAGGTGATTAATTTAACAGCCAAATAAATTCAAATAACTATAGTGCTATGAAAATAAAGCTGTCTTCCAAGCACTACAGCTCCCTATATTGACCACCCTTTTCCCCCATGGTGCAGAAAGCGTTAAACCCTTCTGTCACTTACCCTATTCCACTTCGCCGTACTTGCATTAGGACTTGTATAATGCTTTCCTATGGTGTTTTGGGTGACGCTGGATGTCCTCATGCAAAGCGTGAGGACGTTAAGCATCAGTTAGGTGATCAAAAGATGCCTAACCACCCAGATGTTCTTCTAGTTGCCTGTGTGGTAGACAGCCCTTAAAGGTGGAGTTGACCCTGCAAGGTTATTATTGCAGTTTATTGAAGACAATGAGCTGAAGTGGTCTGGGTGCCTATAGTGTCCCTTTAAGATGAGAATTTGGTAGGAACCGCATACATTCAAGAATCCCTGCCTGGCTCAAATAGGTGGTGTCGTTGTGTAATGTTGTAGGGAATATCTGATTGGTATTTATTAAGCTCAACTGATCGTCACTTTAAAAGCACAAAATACTTAGGGAAACTGTGATATGTCACTCTGGACCAAAATTAAAAAAGGAACATTTCCAGTATTTGAATGCATGAATGAGGATTTTAGGCTGTTCAGAATTGGGTACCATATGTGTGTGATAAAGCCTGATTATTTCTAAATTCAGATTTTTATTGGCTTTACTTTCTGCCGTACTCTAGTGGCAAGTAGTTGTGGTGTCTACTGCAGGATAATCTCTGAGCCTCCCAAATCCAGCTCCTACTTCTGCTTAAATAAACCAAAAACATGCTTCTTAACTAAGTGATTCAATGAAGAAATGGACATCTGAGAATTCTTTCCCCAATATAAAAGCACAAAGGGGGATGTAGTCAATGCAATCTACAGCACAGATCTCATTTGCTGTGCTTATTTGTAATCCCCTTGTGTGTGGTTACTGAAAATAAAATAAAATTGTACTGTATCTTAATGTTCTTTGAGATAAATAAAACAGTTCATCTGTGTTTTGCCCATTATTTTGTAGTACATTTCATTTATAAATTTCTTTATATAAGCTATCTTATACTGCACTGCAGTGGTATAGAGTATACGTGTTAATGTATATCACTATAGCAGAGTGCTCACAAATGTCTGAACAATTATGTTTGCCTTGTTAATATAGAGAGACTTTTATTCATGTCACATGTGCGGTGTTCACCCTAGTTAAAGGTTGTTTGACATTTGTAATGATGTCAGTGATGCATAAGGTTTGAAACTCTGCTTGACATTTCACTTGTGTGGTACAAGAAGCTACACTGGAAACAAGTTTTGCTGCATCTATTTCCCTTCCCACATTTGCATGGGATGCACAAACCAGCCACCTAGGGCATTTTATACATTTGTTTCAATTGAATTTAAAGGGACACTATAGTCACCAGAACAACTACAGCTTATTGAATTTGTTCTGGTGAGTAGAATCACTACCTTCAGGCTTTTTGCTGTAAACACTGTCTTTTCAGAGAAAATGCAGTGTTTACATCACAGCTTAGTGATAACGTCACTGGCCACTCCTCAGATGGCTGTTAGAGATCCTTCCTGGGTCATGGCTGCCTAAAATGCATCACAGCATTCAGTGTCTCCTCCCTCTTCATGCAGACACTGAACTTTCCTCATAGAGATTCATTGATTCAATTAATCTCTATGAGGAGATGCTGATGGTCAGGGCTATGTTTGAATCATGCTGGCTCTGCCCCTGATCTGCCTCCTTGTCAGTCTCAACCAATCCTATGGGGAAGCACTGTGATTGGATCAGGCTACCACATGTCAGCAGACTGCTTTTTTTTCTGAGTCTAACAGCATGCAGAGTTACAGCTTCTGGCTTGAATACAGTAAGATTGTTACTATATTTATGGAGGCATGAGGGGCACAGGGGGAGGGGGGGCTAGGTGGTGGTGTTAACACTATAGGGTCAGGAATACATGTTTGTGTTCCTGACCCTATAGTGATCCTTTAAGGCACTGTCACTACACAGCTACGTTTTCCTGGTCAGTTTTAGATTCCCCATGCGTTTGGTTGAAATCTGAGTATTGCTGCCTTATACTATGTAGAATTCAGTTTACTTTACTAAGATGTATTTTAGAGTAGGCCCAGGCTCTATCCAAAGGGATGGACTTTTCCAGATAGAAAGTAGATTTTAATTTTGCTATCTTTCTGCCTTTATTACCTACGAAATAAAAACCATTTAAACCGAAAGTAGATCTGCCTGAAAAACACCAGGCCTGCCAATCATACAGGCTAGCCAGCCCACTGAGGGCAGACCATGCATGGAGCACTGTTTCACTGCTGTATTCATGGTCCTAGTGCCCTTAGTGTAGGGAAAGGGCATCTACACTTTTTGGAGACAATTCACTTACGTTTCTAAAAGTGGGACTCCAGAGAACAAACCTGGGACATTGGGATGGTTGGGAGGCCTGGGTCTAGGCACAACTCATGCTATTACTGTGCCCTTCTGTATCCCTGCGCCTCCAATTTGCAATTTCCCACTCTCCTTCTGAGTCTGGTCAGAAGGCTTTGCTTTTAGCACATGCTGCCTGGTCAATGTGATGAATAGAAAAGCCTATGCCTGGCAGGAAGCCTGGCCCAGACAAGGCCACAGTTCACACTAACCATGCAGTGGCCACTTTTGGGCGTTTAGTCATGAGGTATCTGTAAACCAGAACTAGAACAATAGGAGGTTCAGCGCTCTACAAATACACAGTACAGGTGCACAGTGTTCAAAGAGTGCAGTAAAAAAGAAATACATACACTTAAAATGCACTTATCCACAGAAGTATCTATAAAACCTCACATAGGGCAATATTGTCTGTCAGGTATCCACACTGTATCAATATACAAGTAACATCCTACTCACATGTAAATGAGCCTGTCAATAGAACTGGCTCAGGTAAACAAACATAGGTAGGATGGAAGGAATATTCCTCAGCTCCTGTGTTCTCCCCCAATGCTCATATAAAAATGGAATAATCAACAGGGGTAAAAGTGAAATATTAACATTTATTCAAAACACAGATAAAAATCCTTACATGTAGGAACACAGCAAGCTGTACACAAGAGAACTTCTTAGTAAAATCACAATGTGTTTCGGCAGAAAGCCTTCATCAGGTGTATCATTCTAAATATAGTCAAATATTACTTAAATTCAAGCCTGAAGCTGCAGGATTTGTCCCTGTTTCCTTTTGACCTACCCACTGCCTGCTGACATCAGCAGAAGTAGCCTGATCCAATTACAATGCTTCCTCATAGGATTGGCTGAGACTGACAAAGAGGCAGATTAGGGTCAGAGCCAGCACAATTCAAACATAGCCCTGGCCAATCAGCATCTCCTCATAGAGATGAATTGAATCAATGAATCTCTGAGGAAAGTTCAGTGTCTGCATGCAGAGGGAGGAGATACTGAATGTTTGGATGCATTTTAGGCAGCCATGACCCAGGAAGGATCTCTTACCATCTGAGGAGTGGCCAGTGAAGTTATCACTAGGCTGTAATGTAAACACTGCTTTTTCTCTGAAAAGACAGTGTTTACAGCAAAAAGCCTTAAGGTAATGATTCTACACACCAGAACAAATTCAATAAGCTGTAGTTGTTCTGGTGACTATAGTGTCCCTTTAAGTGTGCAATCGGAACATATTTCATGACTTCTCAGGCATCTCCAGAAGCAGGACACCAGAGGACAAATCTGAGAGAGCAGGACAGGAGGCCAAAATCATCAGTGTCCTTTTAGATCCTGGATAGATGGGAACTCTGTGTCCTCGTGTCTGTTTTACCTTTTCAGCCTTGGCCCCCAATCTGTCTCTTTCCTACTCTAATTTTTATTATTTATTTCCCTACCTTCCCTTGAGTTTTTCTCTACCCCCACCCAGATCTCTTTCCTACTTTCCCCACATGGACCACATCTCTTCAACCAGTGCTTAGAATGAATCTGTTGCCAAGCACCTCAACCATCCAACACTAAACAGATGCTTAAAATATCTTTCTAGTGTAATTCACTTTGTCATCTCACAGAACAGTCATGGTTATTTACTAAATAGTACATTTTGGAGAATTGACCAAATAATGTCAAATTATGTCCAAATAGATAAATTAGGAATAATTTTCCAATTTACTTCTGTTTCCAGAGTCTCTTTTGTAACCTCAAATTATTGGCTTTTCCAATACAGAGCTTTTGTGGAGCTTTTGAGTGTTTGTACTCAGTATGATTACTGTACAAAGCAGTAATGAATTACTACAAAGCCATGAAAGCACATTATAATAGAGAACACAACCTCTCCCCAGTGGGCTCTCCACTTAGAATCTGACCTCTCTGGATTACATGGGACAATAGAGGCATTTATACAGAGGCGAAATCTGATCCTGTTTCTTTAAAGTTCTTCCCTCCCCCACATAATGACGTTCTGGGGGTTGGGATAAGGGAGGGAAAATTGGCAAGGAAAGATGAGAAGAGAGAAGAGAGCAGAGGAGGAGAGGAGAGATCTCTGCAAGATTCTTTTTTATCCAGCGTGGAGAGAGGTTTGGCGATATCCGAGTGAGCCACAGTTGCCATTGGCAAGCAGTATATGAATCGTGCTTTGGTTGTGCTGCATTCACTGCGAGGGAACCTAGTCTGGGGATATCTGTTCCTGGTGCCGGTTTGTGCATTTTACCCAAACTGATCTTGGCATCACTGCACCAGTCCTGCTCCGGGGCTCCTGGTTCTCAGTAAGCTGCACTGCGCTACCCAGGAGGAGACTGAGGATCGCTGTAAACTGAGTGGAGCCAGCTGTGTGCATTCGTACAGTTCTATGCAGGATAACCTCCAGTGAGTTCTGTCTTGGAATATTACAGTATCTGCAGTTTAGACTATTGGGATCAGCCAAACCCAAGCAGTCTGGGAGAAGGTGAGCATTGCAATCTTGCTATATATTATGTGTGGGCTGCTTGTGTTGCTGCAGATTATTCTTTTTGCGGTGCACATCAGATTGTGTGTGTGTAGAGTTTGGGGGCAGGGATTTATTGCTGACTAGCACAGTAGTCTGGACTGTAGAGAGGGGAGTGGAAATGTTTGTATATATGGGGGGCTGGGGAAAAGCGTTAGTGTGTAAAACTTGCACGTATGTGTGTAAGCCACTGGTAATGTGCAATTGTGACTTGTCAGAGGCATATTTTTTTTATTTATTTTATATATATATATATATATATATATATATATATATATATATATATATATATATATATATATATATATATATATATATATATATTAGTATCCAGTAGAACGTAAACCTCTTACATTGCCAAAAAGTGGGTGGTTTTAACCTGACTTCACAAAAATATTTAGTACTCTGCAAGTTTCCCATATCCACGCCTAAGTTTTTATTTTTAATAAACTGGTCTAAGTTTCTACTTTATTGGTATAGAGGTAGACTGTATCTTTATAAATCATGATGGTTTATTTCAAACTGCAAATGTTTCCATGTGAGGCAAGTATATAATTTATTCGTTTATCCAAATTTTATTGCGTCCCTTTGATTTTGCGTTTTACTGTATGTCTGTCTGAAACTTATTTTACAATGCAACTCAATGATGGCCACGATTCAGTGCTGCTGATGCCCATTGGTTTCAAGCTGCAAGCTTTGGTCTTTAAATCAGTTAGATTGGTAAGGGAAGGGGTCTGATCATTTTTATTTTGGAGCAGTATAACTTCCAAAGCTTGCTGAGCTTGAACAAAGCAATGTGTTTGGATGTCTTCAATAGTTTTTCTGAAATGACCATTTTGGAATGGTCTATAATACTTTTCCTTTTAAGATACTGTTTCTCCTAGATCAGCACCTCAGAATCATTAGTGCAGGAAAAGGAGAACCCAGGTGACCTCTGAGAATCCTATCTCTGAGCTCAATACCCATAAAAAGGAAATAGGATCACTTTTACTGTACTTTTGTTACAGTGGTAATGGTACATTTTAGAACTCAGTAGCTTTAGGGTTTCATTTGTGTGTTTTTGGTTTTTTTTCTTGTGTTTTGTCCTCCGCTACTGGAACTGGTAAAGGCCGCAAATGCACCCTGTGTTATTTTATTTTAAAATGTGTTTACTCAAGCTTCCTGATCAAAATGTAGGCTTGTTGCCATGTTTCATGCTTCTTGACACCACCCTTGTCTGCACCTATATACATATTGTGGCCTGTTGATTTTTATTTTATTTAAACTGCTATACCCTATCTCTCATGACTTTCGCAAAACAAATGCCTAATATCTTCCCTATTACCAGAGCCTTTTTTTTTTTTTAACACTATTTTCCCCCTCCAGTCACCCAAGTGACCTCCTGGCACCCAGTCTCTCTCTTAATCTAGCAGGTCACCAAATATTCTTGCTATCCCCTCCATTACCAATATTTAATTTAATCCGAACGTTATATTCACTATACTCCATATTGTAGCCAATTGATATTGCAAAATAGAGGTTTGTAAAGTTGGGTTGTGACTATAGCCAAATTGGGGTATTTTTAAACATCTGCTGTTTTTGTCTAAATTTTGTGTGTGTGTGTGTGTGTGTGTGTGTTTTTGTTTTTGTGGGGGTTTTTTTGGTTCTTTAGTGTTTTAGTGAACTTATACATATTTTTTTTTTATGTGCTCATTGCTTACTGTGCAATGATTTGTAAATACCAGAAATAAATAAATAAGAGTGCCCTATAAGAAAAATACAATGTATGCCATCCCACTTTTAACTCCTTCTCTTAGTTTTAAAGCCAAATATAGTTTTTTGCAGCAAAGCAAATGTTATGCTAGGTATTCTCCTTAAATATTTAGGGTTAGAAACACTGCTCTGAACATTGGGTAAATAAGGTACTGTATTTAGTGATTATTTTACTTTTAAAGATGTAAAATTGTGCTTTTATTTTCATAAGACAAGCTATGGCTCTGGCTGCAGCAAATGCTGTATAGGCCCAGTTTCATCTCATCTGTGGTTTTAATCTCCATCACCTTCCATAAAACACAGACCCACTCTGCAGTACTGGTGTGCCTGATGTTTTCTCATCTCTTTTCTGAAACCTGTTTGGTCTTGTCTAATAGCTCTGTTATCGACCTGCACTAAATAAAATAAAAAATATATATATATCTAGTGTGTATATGTGTGTGTGTGTGTGTGTGTGTGTGTGTGTATATATATATATATATATATATATATATATATATATATATATATATATATATATATATATATATATATATATATATATATATATATAAAAAAACTATCAACATCCCCTGCACTCACGCTTGAAGTATTCCAAATGCCGGGCGCACCACCAAAGCTCCAATAGGTATAACTTCCACAAGAAAAGGCTGCTCTCCGGACTTAAAATCAAAGATTTTATTGAAAATATTTAAAAATGATGACCAACGTTTCGGTCCCCGATCGGGACCTTCCTCAGGGTCAGAGACAACAGGACAACCTGGTTGTCCTGTTGTCTCTGACCCTGAGGAAGGTCCCGATCGGGGACCGAAACGTTGGTCATCATTTTTAAATATTTTCAATAAAATCTTTGATTTTAAGTCCGGAGAGCAGCCTTTTCTTGTGGAAGTTATATATATATATATATATATATATAATTCTGTCATTATACTGTCAATTCATCAGATACTTATTCCAGTTTAAAGACTCACTTGTTATTACACCTCCCCTGAAATGAAAGGCCCAACATGTGTATGCAAGTCTCCAGCTCTGGCACGGATTCTGACAGACCTTTCTTGCTTCACGTATGAAAGGGCTCAGTTTACGGTTCCTCCTGGCTATTGTTTGTGTTCTTGGCAGAAGCAAAGGAGGGGGATGCAGTGGACAGATTTTACACCTAGCTGAGATTGATCTAATGTTTGCTGAGCACAGTGGGTGAGTGCCTGACTGTGCATTTTATTTAAATATAATACTGACATGGATAACCTTTTGAAAGCTCTTTTGGACTCTGTTTCCCAATGCTCAGACACACAGACTGCTCACAGCCTGCAGTATTTATTATAATAGCCCTTAATATCCTTCTTCCTCCCCCAGCCATCAACTTGAAATTCTCTTGTTACCTTCCGTTTCAGCCTCTCTGAGCTGGATTATGACTCCACATATAAACCGTAATCACCCTACCAAACTCATTGCCAGTAAAGCTACAATTAATTATTTTATGTCATAAGTAGAGACCATTTTCTTGTATAAATTGTTCAATTCACTTTTAATTCAAAAGTCAAACTGAATGGGGGAAAAAACATGAACTGCAAATCCTAAAATCTAGATGAAATTAAGCATAAATGTTTCCGGTTTGTCTTCTCTGGCATAAATGTTGCAATTCTCATAATTCACAGAATTTCATATTGGTTTTTATACATATTTTTCAGTTTCCCATGTCTTTCTTCCTTCACTCTCAGCTTCTCCCAACCTTCCCTTTTTTCTTGCTATGTCTCTCAGCTGAGGTCTTCTCCATTTCATTCGCATTCGCATTCGCCTTCGTTTCATTTTTGCCATTTTATTTTCACTAGATCTAGTTAATCTCAATTTAGTGCCGTTTCTACCTACTTCTCAAATCACTGGCTAGAGATCATTGGTAACTGGGAACGTTAAATTGTACTGAATTAAAAACCAAAGGCAAAATATAGACAAAAATAGAGAATTAGTCAAAATTCTTCAAATGGGCTATGTTTTCAGCATTTTTAGTCTATATTTCACAATTTGTTTTTTAGTTAACTAAAATTCAGTGTTTAGAAAACAGTCAACAGTTGGTCTGCATTTTGGCAAGAGTAGCTGAGATTGTGGAAGATAGAACTATTATACTAAAAAATGTTAATACCTAAATATACACAGGAACCTTACACCATATCAAATGCATCTAGTATCTCAAATTGTATTGCTTTAGACTAAAACTTACACTATTCTCTGCTAGGCTGTATAGCTGGACAAATACTTTCGTGTGAGATGTAGTCGAACTATAGTTGGAGGCTACAGTTAAACACCCATGGTTTTGCTTAAAATGTAATGCTTTAATAGACAATGCTGAAAACCATAACCAGGGTTGCCATTGTGGGTGACCGTCAATATTACATCAAGGGGCTTGGTCAACCTACCCTGCCAGAATGCACTTTCCCCTCTTAAACTCTGTGCAGTAACACTGGGAAAGAGTGCTGTCATATCACTTCCTCCCTCAGCCTATGGACGCTGCACAGGACTTGTGAGGAGCAGCCTGCAGCCCTGTACCAGCCTAATCTCCACCGGACCCCAAGGTAGCCACCCACTAGCTACAAATGGTAACTAAAAGAAAGATTTCTAAATAAAGTGTGTGTGTGTTTTAGTATTGTGCGTAATTCTATTTATTTCTGTCTGGTAGCTGATGAGTGTCTATGTTTCTATGAGTGTTTTCAGAAGCCAAGCCAGTGGGCTTGTAAGGGGCTACAAGAATTCTGGTGGCAGTCCTGACTATGAAATTGTATCAAGTATTTAATCCTATCCCAAGGTGCTGCAGGCCAGCTATATTGCACATATTTTTAGCACAGTCGGTCTAGTATGTATAATAGCCCCGCAATTTTAACTTTGATCCAGATGTCTAAAATCCAAGCTTATTACAAAAATTAGAACAGCTGTTTGGATCCTTCGTGTTCGGTTAGGCAACCTACGGCACTCCAACTGTTGTGAACTACATTTCTCACAATGCTCTTACAGCCATAATGTTGGCAAAGCATCATGGAAGGTGTAGTCCAAAACATCTGCAGTGCTAAAGGTTGCCTATCCCTGTTCTATACTATTACTCTAGTTCCTTGGCCTTTCTGCTTGTATCTTTTTCAGTTATATTTGCAATAAAAGAACAGCTTAATTGACCGGTAACTTTATAGGCAATGAATATTGTAGAATGCAAAACTTTACCTCCATAATTTTACTTGCTTTGTACCCCCATTCTTCTATTTCTCTTCATCCTGGTTCAGGACAGTAGAGGGAGGTTTTGGATTATCTATTTCATTAATGGGTGGATGTTCCAATTAACCAGCAATAATGGGGAATTAGCTCTTAGACATAATCTCTGAAGCTTTGTCCTGTTTAGTACAGAACGTAGGCTTGGTTCCTGGCTGTGGCGTGTCTCTGGGCTTTATTCACTAAATAACAAATTGTAGTGAATTGCAAAATCATGTTAAAATAACCAAGCTTTGAGTTTTTCAAACAGGCAGTTTCTCTGATTTTTGTTATCTGTGGTTTTGTTTTTGTTTTTTGTCAGTTTGTGGTTGTGTGGGATTTTTTTAAATTTATTCTTTGTTTCTTGTTTCTATCTGTGTTAAAACATCAGACTTCAAACATTTTCTAAAGCTTCCTGACTCCAAAATATTGAGTAGTGGCCTGTGAACCATTTTAGCATTTAAGGAGTTAATCTGCAGAAACTATATACAAATAAAAATCTGTGCATCTAACTGAATTGTCCACGTCATGTCTTGTCTCAGTACTAGTTTACTAAAAAATCTGAACAAAGAGTTGATGGGCAATTTGACTAAGGTGTTGGCTGAAGTGGTGAGGATTACAGGTTGTTGGGTTTTTTTTTTTTTTTTTTTCAAATAGTTTCTTGTTTCCTATCAAGTCGAATTTTCACACTTTGTAAACCTGATCCTGTATGTTGTATAAAACTCTGTTATGGTAACAAGCTGTCTTAGGCTGTTTTACCACTGAATGCTTGTCTGATGGGATTTTGCACTTGTTTATTGCCGAGCTGGGGTGGCGTTTTAATCTATTAGGACTAAAATCTAGCTATAATGTCAAATGAAATTGGTCATTCTAGACCAGTGACCGCAAACTGCACACCACGTGTTTTAGACTGATTTACCTGGTAAACTGAGCACTATGGGAAATGTAGTTGGTAACCACATGTAAGCAGCAGAGTGTGGCGAGAATAACAAGACTCTGCTAAATATGTTGGTTGTTTCATCTATGTATAGTAATCCTGGGGAACAGCACCCTTACCTGTTGATCAGAAACCCCAGACCCTGCAACCAGACTACAGTTTATTAAAATGGAATCTCCTGCCAGCAATACATTTGTTATCTAAAGTGTGGGCTATGTTCTCTGTATTATTAGATTGTGCAGGATATTCAGTGTTTGTAGCATACCCTCCAATTATCTAATGCAATGTGCACCATATATTTTATTTACCAAGACTGAATTTTGCAGATGTCTCCAGAATTCATCTGTCTGTGACTGATAAATAAAACTAACCATACTATTCAGTGCCCACATTATTATTCAATAAATGTGTCATTACTGGTGTATAAACTAGCCCAATATTCCATAAACTGTGACGCATTTGCTGTTTATCGAATGCTGGCCTGTATTATACAGTGCAAGTTATGATCTGGTTTAATGGAAAATGCAGTGTGTCATTATCTTTGTTTATGGAATATTGAAATACATTACGCAGTGAGTACTTCTCTGCAATGGCATTTTTGACTGTTATATCTGTATTTTGAAATTTTAGTGTCCATTATTCCATCCAACGTAGTATTATCTTTTATTTTCTTGACTATCGTCTGTTTATACTGTGAAGATTTCATTCTTTGTTTTATGGATTATTGGGCTGCACTGTAAAGTGCAGTGTGTCTTTATCTTTGATATATGGAGTATCAGGCAGCATGATTCAGCACAGTGTTCCATTATCCATATTATGGTATGTATGATGGGCTCCGTTCTACAGTGCTGTATGGCATTTAAGGAATATTGCACCTCATCATATAGTGCAACGATTATGTTCGTATTGTGCAATCTTATTATCTTTACTTGTGGAATATTGGGCAGTGTTGCTCAGTATCATTGACTATGGTTTTTATAGAATGCTGGGTTTTGTTATACGGGGCGTTCATGATTGCTGTTGGAATATTGGGCTGTGCCATTATCTCAGTGTATATTTTATAATGTGCAGTGGTCTGTTCTTTCCTCTAGCTGTGCAGCTTCCTGTAGGAAGAGTTAAGTCTGCTCATTCCCTACTCCTCCTCCCTAATGAAGGGGGAAGCAGGCTTTGTTAGGAGGAGGAAATATGGCTTTTAAAGCCAGCTAACCAAATCCCCAGGAAGTGTATCCTGTTTTAAACCCCCACCTTCCCCTGTTTGTACTGGGCTGCTCCTTTGGATACAGTGGGGTTGATGAAACCCAATAATACACCATTTATTTATTTGACTTGAAACACAGAGCCCTGGTGGCAGCACGCTTGCCTTCTAGGGACACACTAGTTAAAGTTATAAAGTAGCGAGGACTAGACCAACCTAGTTTTCAAGATCCCCCATCATTTGATCATCTAAGCATTCTGCCATGCGGTACTCTCTCCTGCAGCTGCACATGTCATTATTACACATCTATTTAGCATTTAAGAGGTCCTGTTACAGTTTTATAGCCTATGATTCTAATATCCATAACGTGTAATTTTATATAGCTTGAGGCAGTGTGCCCTTTGGCCTGGTGGAGTACTCAGTAGCAGATTGGGTTGCTTGACACCATCTGAGTGTCTGTTATTGCATTGCAGCTCCTCGAAAGTAATACACTTGACTGGCTTTCTGTTCGTGTCTGTGATCTTAAATGTGCTCATTAAATAAATAAGGATATGTGAATGTCTAAATAGACTTCCTCACTGAAATAGTGTTTTGTATAGGAAAAGATTCCTGGAACCTGTAGGAAGCTATAACTAGATAAGAAAAAACAATCAGGTATGTGAGATTTCTGTTGGAAACATGTGCTAGTGCAAAAGGCCATTTGCTGAGTGTTGACCTGATTGGGCTAAGGAAAGTGAGAAAAGAAAATATGACTTGCATGCCAAGTGCAGTAGATCTACAGGAGTGGCAGCAATAACACAATAGACCAGCGTGTTTTTTTTTTGGGGGGGGGGGGTTTCTTCTCCTCAGGGGGCTATGACTCGCCTTTTCTAATCTGGGGAGGGGAAGCATGCAATGAGTGACCACTTCCTGCAGATTCATAATGCTTGGTCAAGGACTCTTAAATCTTGTCTGTGCATTATGACTCAGACTACTCTTAAAATATAGACAATACAAAGCCATTGACTTTGAACTGGTCTAGCTTTTAGCACTGTTCACCAACTGGTCTCCTATAATTGAAAGGAACCTCTGCAATTCTATGTAGGTGTTTTGTGTTCAGTGTTAGTAATGTTGTATTAACTGATTCCTTGCCCTATATTTTTTTTTTTTTTTTTGAGTGCCTTCCTTTATTCTCCCCTCCTAACTCTTATTCTCGCCAGGCTCCATTGGACAGAGTAGGAGAGCGGAACATCACAGTAATGATTCTTCGATACATTGAGGTCGTCGTACTGCTGCTGAGTAATGGTGTCAGTGGATGGAGCATGATGCCACGGAAAACCGTACATTTTTCTGGTGAGTTTGTACCCCTCTGTGTGTTTTTTTTTTTTTTTTTTTTTTAAGTAAATAAATGTATTGAGCACCCTGGAAAAGATCCCCTTTTTTCTTTTTTTTTAATGGAAAGGCTAGCCTATATTTACTACAGATACATTGTTTCTCATAATGTAAAAATTCAATTTTGGTAACAGAATATACCTGTAGCTTGTCCCCCACAAGACTGTTTTCAAGTAGTAACTCAATTAAGTGCAGCAATCCTAAATTCGAAGACATTGTAAACCATATTCTACCAGATGGTTCTAAAGTGGTTAGCTGCAGTAACTTTTCCAATCCTCTGTATATATCTCACAATATTGGGTAGGTAAGTACTCCAGATGTAAGAAGGTTGGCCAGAACTGGCCTGCACTCAAGCGCACTTCACCAGAAAAGGTTTGTGTCTGTTTGCCAGCAAATGAGGGCTTTCAGGGCTGTTGAAGCGCTCTTCGTGTGTCAGACATAACCTGAGTTATCTTACTGCAGAGTAACCAATCTTGTATGATAGGACAGTAGACCAAAACCCACAGTATCTTCAGCTTCCATAAGGACCAGTAGGTGGCAAAGACCTCTCAGCCAGTCCAGGTCCTCCCTCTGATTTGCACAGCAAGCATCATGGAGGAGGATAAGGACATTTTCTTGCATGATGTTCAGCTCCTTGCAATCTTGCATCTTAGTAACTAAAGACAGAAAAAATTAGCTCAGCCTCAAATGTCTAATGGAAACTAACAAATTTTGATTGATGCAGCCTAGGCCAGCTTAGTGCATTTGATCGTCTACTAGAACATTCTTACAGATTTGAAGTTCATTTTCATCAGACACGCACAAATACAATGACAGGCACTGTAAGCATCTAGAGACATGGCTCTCCCATATTTCCATCGCCAGATGACCTCACCAGCTTAGAAAGCCGCAGCTACAGTGCAACTGCAGTTATCTTGGGATTGGCCCGACTCCTCCCCCCTCAGACTGTTCCTGCTAAGATTGCATGAAGATGAAGAGAGAAGCCGCTTTGAGAATTTCTCTGCTTTCCTTCAGCGACCATAAACAAGGCAGAGAAAGCTTCACAGAACAGTTGGTTCTCTTGCAGACTGCAGCTAAATTCAGAAGTCAACAATTCCTTCTACTCTGCCGGATAAAATGTATAATTTTCCCCCCCCCCTTTCTTTCTTGTCTAGATAGATGATTAAAGAGGCTTTGCTTACTCTATTTTTGTAAAAGCTGAATCCATGGGGCTCTGCAGAAGGGAAACCTGTGTTAACCCTATTACTACCAAATCATTGCTCACATCTAGGCACTGAAATCCTATAAGTAGCAAGCTTTTCAAATATAATATTGGTACAGTGCAGGTCCACCGATCTTCCTCGCCAGTCAAAATATTGGCACATATTAACACGCATTACTTATTTTATTCTGCGACTTCAGTAAAATTATTTTTACGTTGTCTATTTTAAAACACAATGACTAAATCATTATAATTTTCCATCAAAGAACAGCCCATTGTCATGTATGTGGATTTTTAAAAGCTTCTTTAGAATGGAATATCTTGGAGGCTCCGGGCTGATGTCACCTGTTTGTGCGCACCACACTCTCCATTGAGGGGTGATGTCATGCTGTAATTATATTTCATATTCCCATGTGGCATAGCAGCCTGTGACAAATCACATGACCCAGAGGAGATGTGGCTGGGAGCAGTCTGCTGTGTTCTTCCAACAAGTCTCAGAATTTACCACTTTGTATTCTCATGAATAATGAAACCGTAATTTATCTATGCTGATTTTTGATAATGTTGTGTGCTTGTCTAAATTAAACTTTCTCACCCATGTCCTATAGGAGTTTCAGAGGTGCGCCAGTCCTGGCGTGGTGGCATCTCACACTTCATGACTCTGACTCTGGATGAAAGTCGGGGAGCTTTGTATGTGGGTGCACGAGAGGTCATATTTAGTCTGGACCTCAATAACATTGGAAAGGAACTAAGACCCCCGGTGAGCATATCAATGATGTCTTTTCTATATAAGGAACAATTTTGGGGGGGGAAGTTCTAATACTTTAAACCTGCTGAATATCCCTGCTGATTGCTCCACTTTTTAGAACATTGCCCAGGTTGCACAACGGATTATAAAACCGTTGAATATTCTCTAAAGAAAATTCTGTTTCAGTGGTGTGGGGTTTTTTTTGTTTGTTTTTTTTACTTTATTTTAAATTACATAAGACATATCTATATACATAGACAGATACAGCATAGAAACCAACATCAAACAGGATACAAAGACGTAAGTACCATCATGAGGGAGGCGTGTCTCATTAAATAGTATCTATATTTATAATAACCATAAAATTACTCCCTCGTGGGCATCAAGGCTGTGGAGCGTACTTTTTCCATTCTTATATACTATGATCTGTTGCTTGTGGGACTGGGTAGTTTTGTTATTTCACAAACCCAGGACCAGGTCAGATTTACATGCTAGGTGCCTGTAGGCACAGTATTCTAAAGTCCCCCTGCCCAAAATAAAACTGAAAACTACAGTTTTAGCGTTTTTAAATACTGTATTAATTGGACTTGCCCTACCCTGCCTAATGAGAAATCCCACTCTACTCACACCTAAACATTTAGAGTGCAGAATGCTTTGTATTTCAAATTTGTGTTTTTGTATATGTAAATGGCCCTAGTTTTTAGAATGTGTAAATGCAGGTGCATTATTTAATGGACACACCCTTACATTTAGTTGAACCCTTGCCTAAATTTGTTCAATTGAGGTAGAACCCTGTTGGGAAGCAGATAACGTCATTTATCATGCTAAATGAGAGAAATAAAGCAAAAGTAACAAGTTGTATTTTAGGTAAATTATGCACTTTGTCCCTTCTCTCACTCCCATATGAGGTCTTGTTTTATGTTGAAATTAATTGCTTACACCCTTTTCTCTGTAGATTATTTGGGAAGCTCCAGGGGATAAGAAGTTGGAATGTATCCAAAAGGGAAAAAATAATCAGGTAATGCATTGTTTGGGATTGAAGGGCCTTTTTGTTTACATTTTAATGACTAGATTTTACTAGATTTTCTTTCTTTCTTTCTTTAATTTGGTATTCAGTGTACAATGTATAGTTTTATGTGACAATAGAAGACAGGAAAAAAGTTAAAACCAGAATATACAGTAATAGTGTAGATTAAAGGGTCACTAAGGCATCCAAACCACTTCTTCTTAATGAAGCTGTCTGGGTGCAGTGACTGTTTAGTTTTACATTTGCAATGTAAAACGGTGCTGTAACTCACAAGATACAGAGAGTGCCAGTATAACCTTAGCTTGAGGTACAGGGCATGTACTGGTAGCTCACATAACAAAAGGACAAACATTTTTAAAGTGTCAATCTAGGCACCATAACGTCTACAGTTTAAAGGACCACTCTAGGCACCCAGATCACTTCAGCTTAATGAAGTGGTCTGGGTGCCTGGTCTAGCTAGGATTAACCCATTCTTTTATAAACTTAGCAGTTTCAGATAAACTGCTATGTTTATGAATGGGTTAAGCCTTCCTCCAAAGCCTCTAGTGGCTGTCTCATTGACAGCCGCTAGAGGCGCTTGCCTGATTCTCACTGTGAAAATCACAGTGAGAGCACGCATGGTCCATAGGAAAGCATTGTAAATGCTTTCCTATGTGACCGGCTGAATGCATGCGCAGCTCTTGCCGCGCATGCACATTCAGCCGAAGAGGAGGATCGGAGGAGGAGAGCTCCCCGCCCAGCGTTGGAAAAGGGTAAGATTTACCCCTTTTACCCTTTCCAGAGCCGGGCGGGAGGGGGACCCACCCTCAGGGCACTATAGTGCCAGGAAAACGAGTATGTTTTCCTGGCACTATAGTGGTCCTTTAATGTTATGGTTCTGGTCCATACAGCCTGTCCAGCAGGCTGAGCAGTTTAAACGCTGCCCTTTCTAGGAAAATGTTTACATTGCTGCCTAACGCCACCTTTAGTGTCTGTCACCCGGAAAGCCACTAGAGGGACTTCCTGGATGAGGTCCTGCAAAGATTGCTTGGAGAGATTAATTCTCTCCACAGAGATTCATTGACTCAGTGTATCTCTACTAGGTAATGCTGCCAATGCACACAAATCACCCAATGTTTCCTTATGGCAGGGCTTTCCAAATTTTTTTTTTTATTTTTTTTAAAGTTTAATGTAGTGGTTCTGGTGACTATAGTCCCTGTAGCCTTTTCAATGTAAACGCTGCATTTTCAGAGAAGACCTCTAGTGGCTTTCACTCAGACGGCCACTAGAGTCCTGTGTCAGTGCTCTGCATGGACGCGCTGAATGTTACCCATACAGAACATGCGCAATATCCTCCCAATACTTTCCTGTGGGAAAGCATTGGCTTAGCTGAGATCATAAAGATTGATTAACTCTGCAGTGGAGGCAGGACAAGCCCTTCACGGTGTGGGGGGAAAAAGGTGAGTAAAAACATCAATCCTGATCGGAGGGGGGCAGGTACCTAAACAGACACGCACACACTGACTCACGCATACACATACACTCACAAATTAAATTGTTTTTATTTTAATCCATCCAGCCTCCCTACCTTTGGGAGAGCTGAGTGGACTTTCCCTGGGGTCCAGTGGTGCTGCTATTCCTGTGTGAGAGGGAGCAGTAATCTACCATGCAGCTACTTGCTGCTCCCTGTGATGCGTGGGCCGGCATGACGTCATATTCCGTCTCCCGGCATCATTAAACAGCGCGAGGGAGCAGAGAGCGGCTGCTTGAAGATCACTGCTCCCTTGCACGCTGCCCCAGCCGACCTCCTTGATGCCCCACTGAACTGGCCGCCTCCATAAAGCCCAGGGTGGCCGGCTACTACGCTCACTAAGCCGGCCGCCTCCATGAAGCTCAGGGCGGCTGCCTAAAAGGCTCACTCAGCCGGCTGCCTACATGCTCCAGCGGGTGGACAGACCATTATTTGCGCAGCAGGGCACTTTAGATAAAAAGCTGACAAATCCCAGGCGCAGGGCAAAATTTTTAGTCGCCATGGCGACCTGGGATTTGTCAAGCCCTGCCTTAAGGTGAAGCATTAGATTAGCATCGATACTAATGATCTCAGCATAGGCTGAGTGACTGCAGTGAGATTAGTGTGATGGGGAAAATAAGAGTAAAATACTTTTTCTTTGGATTATTAAGGGGGCCCAATAATCTAATTATATTAGCAGTCTGGAGTTAGACATACAAACCTGTAGGGTGCTTCTTTTAAGGAAAGGGAACAGTTTAAAAATGAGGAGGTTGGGATAAAGAGAGTCTAGAGAAAGGTATTGAATAAAAGTTCTTACTTCTAAAAGCAGTATCTATAATAATCTATGTGTTGTCTGTGAAACAAAGAGCTTTTAGAATATGGTAAAGCAGAGCACTATTAATCTTTCTATGAAGAACAGAAGTAAACCAATGTTTAACAATCTGTTTCATTGAAATCTTAAACATCAAGATGAATCATGCTCCTGTTGCACGCTGCAACTAGTCTTGTAATGTGACCTTATTTCGTAAGTCTGACATGGTGTCTTGTGGTGTTGTTTTCCCTATATCGCTCTTTTAGAGCTGGGTTTTATCAGGTTAACCTTACTGGACTGGATAACCAGTGAGCTAATTGGATTAACATCAATTAAGTGATGCCATTGTGATTGACTTGTTGAGCAGAAATCAACTTAGAGGGCTTCTTGTTATTGCATGCAAAGGATTGTTAAAACTGTGGTTTTTTTTTTTTTTTTTCTTCCATGTCTGTAAGACAAATGCAATTGCCTGTGATCTGCTCATACAATCCTGCAATAACTGCCCAACATGTATGAGTGCTCTAATGGGCTTTAACCCCTTAATGACACATGACATGTGTGACATGTCATGATTCCCTTTTATTCCAGAAGTTTGGTCCTTAATGGGGTTAAAGAGACACCGTAAGGCCCAATACAACTTCCATTTAATGAAGTGTTTTAGTAAAAACAAATTTTCCATAAGACATTGTGATGTTTACATTGAAGATACTTCTTCATAAAGGCCTTTAAACATAAGGTCTTCTTGTTTGGCATCAGCATGTCCAGCACAATGACGCCAAACACGGTTAATGCTTTATAATGAAGCATTTAATTGGCAGATATTCCTCAAAGCACTGTATTGGGCGAAAGGCATTATTACTCATGACTTCACTGGAAGCGAGGAGAGTACCCAAAAGGAGACTCTCCCTGTGCTGGAATGACGATAAGTTTTATAGAAGTTTTAATCTATTTTGGAGAGTGTGGGGATGGGGAGACTGTAAATCTAAGTAAATCAAACCTTTTCACATAAAAAATAATTATTTTTCATATTTAAATAACTGTGGCCACTTGTGGAAAGGTTTCTGCAGTAACTGCCTAAATAAATCTTCCTGCATGGTATTCATTTACTTTAACCTTGCTAGTTAATCCTGTTTTAATGTGCAGGTTAGAGGACTAAAGCATTGATAAACTATATCCTATAGTGTTGGTCAATAGTACTAAGGGCTGTAATGCAAACAGAGAACTTGAACAATTCCTTTCTCCCACACTCTGTATTCTGATGTTGAGATGTGAGGCTCTTGTGACTATTATTCAGTCTGTCCTAATTAACCAATACCTTCCATTCCATCCAGTAGATCACAAGAGATACTGTAGAGTCAACACTTTCTATATTGGGGTGCAGCAAACACTACATGGTTTTATGCCCCATCCCCTCATGTGGGTTTGAGAAGGATCAAATGGATTCGTGTCCCATCTGAATTTCATGATCCTGTGCACCCCATCCTGTGTGTATGTATGTATGTGTGTGTGTGTATATATATAATATACATACACACACACAACAAAAGGAAGAAACAAGACAAGAAATAAAGTATTGGGGTGCACAGGATCATGAAATTCAGATGGGACACAAATCCATTTGATCCTTCTCAAAACCACATGAGGGGATGGGGCATAAAACAGTGGAAATATCTACTTACAGCTCCAGGAGTTGGGAATGGTACAGCATCAGAGTAATATATACACAGTCTTAAAGATAGCACTCCAGGGACTTTTTAATAAAGTTGAAAAAAAACTTAGCTTTTATTCAGGCAACTGCCACAGTGGATCAACATTTCAGTTCTGTATCAGAACTTTTGTCAGGATATCCTTTCTTTAAGACTGTTATAATTTTGCTGATAAGCACCGGACTTTATATTTTCTATTACTGGAGTGCAAGCATTGGATATTTTAATATAAATATATAGCTATATCTATATCTATATCTCTTGAGCTACAAAACCTGGATAACTGATGTTCACTAAGAACTCAAGTAAACAGCACTCTTCTGGTAGGCTTTCTTCATAAGCAAATTATCAAGTAGGAGAATGTTGTTTGGTTTATAATTTATTTGTATTTTTTTTTTTTTTTTTTAATGAAGGAATCCTACGCATGCTACTAATGGGATTTTAAAAATAAAATTGTAAAAGGGAAGACTTAATGTCCTGTGCATTACTAATAAGACTCATGAGTTTTAGCTTGTCTGATGCCCTGTTAATCCAGAATTTTCTGTTCTAGACTGAATGTTTTAACTACATCCGCTTCCTGCAAGAGTTTAATCAAACTCATATCATCACGTGTGGAACATATGCCTTCCAACCCAAGTGTGCCTATATAGTAAGTATTTTGGTTCTGTCTTAAACCCTCCTCCTCACAAATGTAATTAAGAGCAGTCAAACGTCTGGCTTGGCCCTGACATATTTATAGTTGTAAGTGAGAAGTTGGATATTTTGTATGCATTTTTATTAACTGTGGTAGAGTGCATGTTTAAGCAGCAAAAACATAAAAAAAGCAGTGTCTAGCTTAGTAGATCAGGTCCACTCTTGGAACACCCTTGGAACATGCAATAATAAACGTTTTCAGGACCTCGTCCCTTTCTCAATGTTGATAATGGAATTATATTTCATGATATTTAATACATGCAATCCATTTGGATGTTCAACTAACTTTCTATGGTGCATGTGAAATGTTGCTCAATGTTGTGTTTTTACTGTTTTCTACCAGGAACTATCTGGATTCACTTTGGATAGCATTAACTTGGAAGATGGGAAAGGAAAATGTCCTTATGATCCAGCTATAGCTCACACTGGATTAATTGTTGGTGTGTACCTACCTTTATTCTTAGGGGACAGAGTGCAATTGTGTTCTTGTTTGGGTTGGTGCTGTAATCTGTACAGGCAATCCTGTGAATTGGTGAACAATTTAGATGGGGCAATTTTTTAGGTTATTAAAGGGTTGTGAACGGTATCTGGATTTAGTGAGCAAAATAGTAGTTGGCTCTTAATCCTGATCATTTACTTCCATTATGGAATAAAAATAGAAATATTGTAAAGGAAGTCCCGTGAGTGCTCACATTTCTAAAAAATGTAATTTGTATATTGATATTGTATGGTAGCACCCAGGCAGAAAATCCACTGAAATATAGTTTAGAGTGAGTGCCATCACATCTGTGGTTGAAACACATCTATGTACATATCGATTTAAAAAAAAGTATATATTTATTTTTTATATATATATATATATATATATATATATATATATATATATATATATATATATATATATATATATATATATATATATATATATATATATATATATATATATATATATATATATATATAGAGAGAGAGAATTTATTTTTAATTAAATTTTTTTTTTTACAGATGGGGCTTTGTATTCAGCAACCCTAAATAATTTTCTAGGCACAGAGCCAGTGATTTTGCGCAATATGGCACCACACAATGTTATGAAGACAGAGTATCTCGCATCTTGGTTAAATGGTGAGTTAATGACCTTTATTTCTCTTGTCTTTCTCTTCCAAACCCGATTGGTAGTCTGCATTTGAGCACCAATGTAGGTCACATTGCCTGCTATCAATCGCCTGTATTATATTTTTATGAAAACTAGGCATAACAAAACATGCTCTTGCTTGAAGCATTACAAGATGCAGCTATGCACAGGAATGAAAGGCTACTGTAGACCTTTCTACATATTGGTGTCTAACGCCATATTGTGCTGCCTCCTGTGGATGAATAAGAAGCAAATGGATCAGACCTATTGTTACTAAAAAAATATGAAATGCTTCCCTGCACTAAAAGATTTTTGTGCATAATTTAAACCCATTAAATTCTAATGACTCATTATCCTGTTTGTTATATGAATCTTTGAGAATGGATTCACATTACCTCTGAATTCTGTCATCCTTTTCAGTTTTTAGAATTCTAGTATTCTTTCCCCCAACCACAATCTCATTATGTCTGTTGGTTGCTTTTTCTATATGCCATTGCCTCATACATTTCTCTTTTTAATATTAGAGCCAAACTTTGTGGGCTCTGCTCATATTCCAGAGAGTGTGGACAGCGATTTTGGAGATGATGACAAAATCTATTTCTTCTTTACGGAACGCGCTCTTGAATATGACTGCTCGAGTGAGCAGGTGGTATCTCGAGTGGCCAGAGTTTGCAAGGTGAGACACATGGTTAGATCAGTACATGTGTAGACTTTATAGGTAAAGGCAGTGGAAATGGGCTAAACTTCTCTCATTGGCTTATACTTCCCACAAATGGTATAAAACAAGGAGGTAAAAAGCAGTGCATAGAAGAGGCCTTGTCTCAAGAAACTGAAGCTCCATGTGACATGAAGTGTTTAAAATCGTGTGAACTAAAAAAATTCAGAATTTTTTATTTTATTTATTTTTTTAAATCTCCATTTCTTGTAGGGTGATCAGGGTGGCCTTCGCACTCTACAGAGAAAGTGGACCAGTTTCCTTAAGGCCAGACTTCTTTGCTCTGTCCCTGATATCCAGCTAAACTTTAACCTGTTGCAGTCTGTCTTCACACTTCACTCCGACCAATGGCGATCTACTCAGTTTTATGGAGTTTTCCAAGCTCGCTGGTGAGTACTTTGGGCAACATTTACTGGAGCAAAAGGGAGAAGTAGAACTGACATATTTCATGATTAAAAATGTTCTTGTGAACATGTTGCATACCATGCCTCTGTTCTTTAAAATTGTTTCATAGTAACCACCAAAGGTAATTTCATGTGATAGTGAGTTGCAAGCTGTAAAAGCAAAAACATTTAGAATATCAATTGGCTGCTGGCATTATTTTGATTTGGTCTTCTCAGTGACATTTTAAAGGACCACTCTAGGCACCCAGACCACTTCAGCTTAATGAAGTGGTCTGGGTGCCAGGTCCAGCTAGGGTTAACCCATTTTCTTTATAAACATAGCAGTTTCAGAGAATGGGTTATGAATGGGTTAAGCCTTCCCCCTAATCCTCTAGTGGCTGTCTCATTGAAAATCACAGTGAGAAGCACGCAAGCGCCCATAGGAAAGCATTGTAAATGCTTTCCTATGCGACGGGCTGAATGCGCGCGCAGCTCTTGCCGCGCGTGCGCATTCAGCCCAGGAGGAGGAACGGAGGAGGAGAGAAGGAGGAGAGCTCCCCGCCCAGCGCTGGAAAAAGGTACGTTTTTACCCCTTTTCCCCTTCCAGAGCCGGGCGGGAGGGGGTCCCTGAGGGTGGGGGCACCCTCAGGGCACTATAGTGCCAGGAAAACGAGTATGTTTTCCTGGCACTATAGTGGTCCTTTAAACGTGTTAAGTCAGAGTTTGTGCATTATCTGTGATTGTCCATGACGTTCAGGATACAGTTAGACAGTCTTGTTGTATGAGTAAAATTTACATCTTGGTGCTCTCTGAGCAAAGTGTTTATAGATCCATGCGTGTAAGGGTCTTTCATAATCACCATCCTATTTTACTTTCAGGGGTGACATTGCAGTCTCTGCTGTTTGCAAGTATTCCATTCAGGACATTCAGAGAGTCTTTGATGGACCCTACAAGGAATATCGGGAGCAGGCTCAGAAGTGGGGTCGTTACTCTGATGCTGTGCCATTCCCAACTCCTGGAGCTGTAAGTAGATATTTCCACTGTTACGCATGTTTTGTGCTTATATACGTATTTCTTCCACCATCTGACAAAGTGCTCAATAAGGAAAAACTGTTGCCATTAAAGTGCAAATAGTGTCATATTTTCTGGCTTTGATTGCATGTCTATAAAAATGATTGTTACATTAATCCATTTGAGGTTTTTGTGTTTATTTTTTAGTTTATTAATATAATATATTTTATTATTGAATGGCATGGGGTTGACTTTGATTCCAGTTCTTTGATAACTCTCAATCTGTAACTTTAGTAAAGTTAATTGGATCACTCTAGAAATCTTAATGCATTCATAGATTTATTTATTTTTTCCACATTTAGAAATGGAAAGGATAAGTCATTTAACATAGTCCCTAAACCGTTTGTGGGAGTTGACAAAAGAGATTGGTTCTAAAATTAAAGTATCCTTATGTTGTGTTTTTTTGTTTGTTTTTTAATATATATGCCTCTTCTCTACGCAGTGTATTACAGATCTTCACAGACGTCATGGGATGACCAGTTCTCTGGAACTTCCTGATAATACCCTAAACTTTGCCAAGAAACACCCACTGATGGACGACTCTGTTCAGCCTGCGTATGGCCGCCCACTGCTTGTTAGAAAGGGAACCAACTTTACAACAATTGCTGTACATAGGATTAAGGGTCTCGATGGAGAAATATATGATGTCCTCTTCATTGGAACAGGTCAGACATCACCACCACTATTAAAAAAAAATTTAGGGAGTAGTCTAGTTGTATTAAATTTCTCTTAATTTAAATATCCAGGGTTAAAATTGTAGTTTCACTCTGATATATATATATATATATATATATATATATATATATATATATATATATATATATATATATATATATATATATAATTATTTGTGTGTGTATATATTTTTATTTTAGTTTAGTTTTTTTGTTAGTTTACACACCTATTGCAAGAGTTAATTGTCTAGAACTGTCCAATATGCACTGGTACCACTTACATAGTACCCTTGTGTGGGTGTGTTGAAGTGTTTGTCTGATTTTTTTTCTCTTATAAAATATTTAACCAGTTTCCTTTTTGTTTTGCAGCAAATGGCTGGGTTAATAAAGCAGTCAGTATGGGCTCCACAGTGCATATAATTGAGGAGCTTCAAGTGTTTGACAAATCGTTTCCTGTGCACAGTTTAGTCCTCTCTAGTCGCAAGGTCAGTCTCTATGACAGTGGTGTCATATAATATTTAAAAAAAAAATTAAATAATCAAAAGCAGATCTATGGCCTTACTAATGTAAAAAAAGACAAAGATCTTTTAGTATGTCACAGATTGGCCCTTGGTTTAGCTTCAACATCTGTCCATTGAGAGTCCTTCCACATGGCCACATCTTCTCGTCCATTTTGACTTTTTTTTTTTTCCTTTGCAGTCTTTGCTGTTTGTTGCATCAGTGTCTGGCCTAGTGCAACTTCCATTAGCAGACTGTAGTAAATATCGCTCCTGTGCTGACTGCGTTCTTGCCAGAGATCCCTACTGCGCTTGGAGCCGCAACACCACTCGCTGTGTGCCAGCGGAAGAACGCTATGGGTGAGGTTTTTTGTTTTGTTTTGTTTTTCGTATATTTACGCGAACACTGGGTTTGTGGGCAATGGGAATGTACAAGGTAGATGGTAATTAAAGCAGTCATGTGTACACAACTATATGTATCCACTGATAAATTATGTATATTTTACTAAGAGTGTGTTATCTGTATATTTTTGTAGGTCTGTACTTCTTCAAGACATTCAAAGTGCAGACATTTCCGTGTGTGATGTTCAATACATGAAAGCTGGTAAGATATTAACAAAAATTTATATATTTAAATTCATTATACAGTGTAAAGAAACTTAATATTTGTCTGCATAGTGCACTGTACACAATGAGCACTTAAATGTTCCTTTATGGATTTTTCTGTGGGGAAAGAAAATTAATAATCCTTCACAGTTTCTCCTCTCCTCTGCCTTGCAGTAAAACCCTCCCAGAGGAACATCACTGTGGCTATCGGAACCAATGTTGTCCTTCCTTGCCAGCTAACTTCCAATTTGGCCAAGCCTGTATGGACATTTAATGGACGGGAGTTGCTGACTGAGGAAAATGATTCGGTGTTATATGATATCACTCTACAGGCCCTAGTTATCCTTGGTGTGAGCCCTCAACACTCTGGTTCATATTGTTGCTTCTCTGAAGAACAAGGAGTACGATTGGCTGCTGAGAGTTATGATGTTCTTGTTGTGGCTGCCCCCTCTCTCACCTTGGAGTCTCGTGCCCCCATGGATGGTTTGAGCGTGGTGTGGATGACAGTGATAGCTCTTGGGGCAGTGTGCTTGGCTTTATTTTTAGCTGTTGTCTATCTACGCAGAAAGTTACAGGATGAGTTGGATAAAGGATCTAAATCGTTGGAGAGTACTCTGGTGTATCCCATCCAGCTGCCTACCCAACCCAAAATCCCCAAGTGCTTGCCCAGTGCAGACTCTGATGAGAAGCTGTGGGATCCCTCTTCTTTCTACTACTCTGATGGCTCCCTTAAGATTGTGCCAGGCCATGCACTCTGCCAGAACAGCACTGGCTCATCCTCTCCTTCTGGCAATGGGATACCTGGCCAGCCCTTACCATCTCCACCTCTCCATTCACCTAATCACATGCTCCTTTCAGGAGTTAGAGGCTCTAATAGTAATGGATATATCCGGCTAACGCTGGGTGGGGGTGTAAGTGAGGAACATCCACCTCTGGGTGAGCTTAATGAGGAGCTGCGATGGAAACTAAAGCAGAGGCAGGCACTGCCAGACTCCAATCCTGAAGAATCATCTGTCTGACAGCCCATATGACCTCTTGCAATGTTTGCACTGTCACCATATTTGGTTTTATTTGTATTTTTGTTTCCTTTTTTTGTTTTTTTTGTTTAACTACCTCAGGGATTGGAGGTGTGGTGGAGGGACATGTCCAAATTTTCAGTCTTCCTCTCCTCACCTGACCTTTTACTGACTCCCAATGCCAAGACTTGTTAACACTTCCAGAATGGCATATTTTAAAACTTCAGTATTCCTAACATTCTCCATTCCACAATATGGTGAGTTTTATTTCATTCCTATCTAAAAAGTCAAAAGGATCATCTTACCAACCTAACCACCCCTCCCCCTCCACCTTTAATTTCCAGTCTCTGGAGTTCAGGGCTGTAGCAGCAATAAATTTGAGGAGGTTGTGTAACTGGGGGGAGTTGCCTTTAAACATGTTTGCATGTTTATATCCATTTTTGCTTTGCAATAGTTCGAAACATATTGGAGGATTGCTATAAGCATTAGTGCTATTTTTTCTGAAGGCATTTGTATATCAAGATCTGTTTACAAATTTATATCCCTATTGGAGGCATACACAGTTTCATCTGGACTGATCATGATGCTGATTTACCCCAGTTAAGGTATTGTACTTCTTTAAAAACCAAAAAAAAAAAAAACTTTCTGCAGTTAGACATCCTGAGCTGGGGTTTGTCAATAATCCAGAAAATCAACAGCTTCTGTGACTACAATGCTGCCTGCCAAGAAATCCAAACCACCTGTTCTTTAGGAAAGCTGAGGGTTGGCAGGTGGAAGATGGCCATTCCTGCCAAACTTCCTCCAACCCTGCCTCAGTTCTTACATTTATTTTCCTCGTTCTTGTTTGTGTGCCTGTCACCTTCTAAATGGACTTTTCCCAGTCGTGTGTTTTTAATGCATCCCAGCCTGGTTGCTGAGTGTTCGTGTACATGTTGGAGGAATAAAATATGACGCAAGGGTCAGATGTAAATTTTTTTATTTTTTTTTGAGTCTAGGAGCTGGAACAAATCTTCTGGGAGACTCTTGATATTTGTATCATAACTGCTGAGTTGTTTAAAATATTAACTTAATATCATTCCCATTTCAGTATCTTTTTTTTAACACTTTGAACACCAGATGGATGAGTAACCAACTACTTGCCCAATCAAAAAGGGTTACATTTACACTTTCACAAACACCCCCCCTGCCCAATCAGGTTTCCATATCTGGCTAATATTTAAAGGAGGGCGTTTACGCAAAACATAATTCATGTTAAGAGAAGAAAAAAAAATCACATTGTGGTTTGTTTTTGTAAATTTGCTTTGCATAGCCAGTCTTTTCCCCAAAAAAAATTTCTCACAAGACTGACTGCATGTGGCAAGCCTCCCATGCAACTTGACAAGATCAGCCTCTTGCATTATTTTCATCAGAAATGGTCATTGGAATTTTAACATCCTTCTATAATTTTCATGATACTATTTTGTGTTGCCATTCTACTTCAGTTCGTGGCGACTTTCTCAATTTAACAAATTGTATGGAGTTTTCATCTGCCAGATGTTTGTTGGAGAGTGCAGTTGTATAATCTTCTGTGATTTATAACCAAACCACCATTGGGCCCAGCACCATGAAATCTTGTTTTCCAATGTATATAGAATTTTTTTTTTTATATATATATATATATATAATTTTATTTTTTTTCTTTCTTACATTCATTCCTTCACAGTTGTGTCTGTAATTTATTTGAGTTAAATATATTTATTTCTTGTAAATAAGTATTTTTGTATTGCCAAAATAAAAAGGACATTTCAAGATTGTGTTCTGTATTTTGAACTATCTTTTTTTAATTTTTTTCTCCTCCTAATTTTTATATTTATTTTATATATTTTTATAAAATATATAATCTGTTCCTTCTACTCTACAGAATTTTCCAATTTTCACTCCACTTTCTACCTTTAAAATTGTATTTGTTTCTTCACTAAACGATGAATTGCAGAACAATTCGTGGTTTAGTAAATAAGTAACTCTGTTTTACCAGTTTTCTTTTTGGTTCATCGTTTAAATTAGTTTCATGTTCACCTTTGCTTTGGCACCTTTTCAAAACTTATTTTATTTTCTTGTGAAACACTGTATTGTTCTGTACTGTGTAAACTCCATATTTTTCCCCGGCTTGTATTTTTTTAATAAAAATGATTTGTTTATTGCTGGTTTTGTACATCCGTTAATCAAAATACAACATGGCATCATTTAATGTGTAACCAGTTTTGGGATATTTCCTCTTTTTTCTTTTCATTACATCTTTTAACATACAGTGTGAGTGCATGTGTATTGGATTTCACCTACCAAATAGTGGATTGTTTATTATGAACTGTAAACTCCTCCCCTTAACCCCTACACGTCCACCGCCACATTTGCCCTATCCAAAAAAGGTTGTATAATTTTAGAAGCTTCATAACGATGAAGCTTGTATTAGAGAAAGTAATGCAATCTCTGGATCCTGGAGATATTTCTAAACCACTTAACTTTTATTCTTTTAATTTATTATGTTTCCAGAACAATTCAATGGCACTATTTTGTCATGATCAAACATGCCATTAATATATTACACTCCAACACAAATACATTTATATATGAGGGTTTTTTTTGTGTCCGGTTTAATATAGGTAATGTTTTAAAACTGATGGCTGTAACTTCCTGTTTGCATAATGTCTAATGGTTGATACCAATGGACATACTCACTAGCCACTGTTGCGTCACAGTTTATATTCTATAACTACTGCTGAGCTTACCCTATAACCTGTTCAATATTGACACTGCTTTATACAGTACATCAGACCATTCAACTATAGCTCACAAAATCCTTGACAAGTCAGGAAATGTCAAGCAGTGTTTTTAGAGCAAAGAGGAAAATGGTAAGTTTGGAGGGAGAGGCCAAATTAGTTGTCTTATGGAGGAAAACTTCATATTATATAAAGAAGAACAAAATTCAGCCCAACATATACAATCAATTCCAGTCTTGGAGATACGTTAAATAGGAAGCCGGATAGTGCCTTGATATATTTCTTGAGGTAGGAACATTCTCAGAGGGAGTAGAATATGATAAGACAGAAATATGCAGCACAATATAATGTATTCTACAAATTTGAAATTGTAGATATACAAATAAAGTGAAGATATACAAATTTGAAATTGCACTTAGTTTGCGTTTGGCCGTACGAAGGACCTCCACCTTGATATGGTGGATCACGGTGCTCTCCACCCCACCCGTGGGCTTGTTGATGAATAAGGTGTATGTATGTGTGTGTGTGTGTGTATATATATATTTTAAATAAATATTAGGAGAGGTACTCGCAAATTAAGGTTTTACTCAATCCTGTATTTATAAGGAGCATGTTTGACTCCAACTGACACATGACATCATAGATCATGTGAGCATTTATGCAATTAAAGACTTGTTTCTTTAAAATGAACAAATAACAAGCAACATATATTTTAAATAATATACATACGTGCAATACACTTATAACCATTAAAATTAAATTGAAACTATTTATTTCACAATTAATAACAAAATGACACTGCCATTTAATCAAGAGCAGTATTTTACTAGCTAAAATTCTCTATAATTGAGAGGAGAGGAGAGGAAGGTCTAGTGGGTACTAAAAAAATGTTTCATTTTCAATCGTATGTCAACTTCCTTTAGAAATGTTTATCTCCAGCTTTGTAACTTGCATTTTAATGGCATAAAGGAGGCTCCTGCAATCTCTAGAAGGTTATTCACAGAGCAGGACATAAGACATTCTAAATTAAACAGATTGTACAATAAAGGAAATGTAAACCTTAGATCTCTCTTTACTAGGACACAATGAAATTGCTTATATATTGTGGGGAGTTTTTTTCTTCTTCTTCTTGAATTTTAATGCCCAAAAAACCTTAAAGGGAAACTATAGTGCCAGGGAAACAAACGTGTTTTCCTGGAACTATTGCTCCCTCCTCTCTTGAGCCCCCTCCACCCTAGTGGTGCAGAAGGGGTCAAAAACTCCCTATGTCACTTACCTGGTTCCAGCGCGAATGCCCGCCTTAGTTTCTCCTTCTCCAACATCCGCCAACCCCTGTGGGGTTTTGGGTGACGATGGATGTCCCCATGCATAGCGTAAAGACCTCCAGCTCCAGGCGACCAAAAGTCGCCTAACAGCCCAGAAGTCCCTCTAGTGACTGTCTGGTAGAGGTGGAGTTAACCGTGAAAGGTAATTATTGCAGTTTCTTAAAAACTGCATTAATTTCCTTTGCAGGGTTAAGGGACCTGCCACACTGCATCCAGACCACTTCAGTGTCCCTTTAAGTATTGCCTAGCATCTTTTTACAACAAGGCTTGTTAGTTATACCAAGGCGTATGCTTTAGAATCCCTGAATATTCTTTATAATGAAGCATATTTTTTTCCTACACTCAGGGCCGGACTGGCCCACCGGGATACCGGGAATTTTCCCGGTGGGCTGCGGCACCTGGGGCCGGCAGGAAGCCCTAATGTACTATTTAAATAATTTTCCCCTCCTAGTGACAGAAGCTGTCACAGAATTTATGAGGCTGGTGCGGCCACATTAAGGCTGCTGGCGGCTGGAGGGAACACTGAGTCTCCCTTCCTGATTCCCAGCAGCACTTAATCCGCGGGCCAGCACGTTAGCTCCGCCCCCGAATGGAAGCTCCGCCTCTGTTTGGAAGCTCCGCCTCCCACACTCAAGCAGGGGAACTTGCTGCAGGAAGAGGCCTGGCCTCCCAGAGAAAATGTCATCTCCCACTGCCTCCAGTGCCAGGTAGGCTTTATATTCTGTGTAGTGTGTGTGTCAGTGAGCTAAAAGAAGGGGATATTGATGCAGTGAGGGGGGTATTGATGTTGTGAGGGGGATATTGATGGAATGAGGGGGGCTATTGATGTTGTGAGGGGGATATTGATGCAGTGAGGGTGGTATTGATGGTGTGAGGGTGGTATTGATGGTGTGAGGGGGATATTGATGGAATGAGGGGGGCT